GTTGGGGGGGTTTCATGAAATTGTGCATGGGGGACTTCAGCAACAAATGCATAAAAACCCTCGCGTGTGTTGAACAAAGGAACTGTATTTCACCTCCTGTTACACCTCCACCAAGAAAAACATCATAAACGTCACGTTGAGGAAAAACAGCGTCAGAAGTTTTCAGTGGAAGCTCGTGCAGACCGTAAATATCTGCAATTTTTATAATCGTCATTATACAGACATTTTTCTGTTCTCCTCCACAGGCCAGCTCCCCCTCAGACTCAGCAGGTTGCCGTGACGATGCCAAGCAACCCCCTCCCCACCCCAACCCCTAACAGCAGCACAACAACAGCCGCATTCAACAGGCGAAGATTTAGAGCTCTGCAAATATTGCCCACTCTGCTTTCGGAACAGAAGAGAGGGGGGGGGAGTTAGTGATTCTCACCTCTACCTGCTCATATAACTTCTGGAAAATATATTCCACACATCCATCTGAAAACAGAGGAGAGGGAGGAGACAGGGGGTGAGAGAGAGGGGGAGGAGAGAGAGGGGGGGAGAGAGAGAGGGAGAGAGAGAGAGGGGGAGGAGAGAGAGGGGGAAGTTTCCACTGAGAAGTTAAAGAGACCGAGGCCAAAGAAGCTGCAGGCGACACAAGATTTAGATTCTACAGAAGGGATAGAGAGAGAGAGAGAGAGAGAGAGAGAACATATTGAGAGGTGGGCCGACCGCTGCTGCCTGAGAGCTTCACTCCATTCACACTGACACATTAGTATTTAACTGACACAGAGGGGACATGTAGGGCTGAGAGAGAGAGAGAGAGAGAGAGAGAGAGCGAGTGAGCAAGGCTCTAACACGCAGAGGTTTTTTATAACTAACATTTTTCTCCCTGCAGATATTTTCATGCCTACTCAGCAGTATTTAAAGACCAGAGGGGCTCATGCACGTGCCCCCTGATTCACCTTTACCTGAAAATAATGATTTATGATGATGATGTTACATGAAGGCTCACAGCCTACACCCACCACAAAGACACCACTTTACATCCTACAGGAGTACAAGGACACAAATGATCAATCTTAAAGATACTTTTTATTTTGTCAGAGTTGATAGGCCCTGGTAATCGTGGGGGAGGGGCTAACATTTAAGAAAGAATTGAACTGGATGCAAAATATGTAAATACAAATAATTCCTTTTGAATGCATTAAAGCTGAAGTTATTAGAATGTTTTGGGAATCTAAGGAGCACAACGTCCGGGTATTTCTGTTCAAATTAAAGTCAAAGAAAGCAGAGAACAGTTCAGCACAGAGAAGACGACTTCCCTCGTCTGCTCCTCACAGAGGCCGTCAAATTGAATCTTCTCTGCCTCCTTAATAATTCCGGCTAATCACTTCAGCATTGTCAGCGGGGGCACAGAGCCTCCCCTCATGTCCTGGATCGTAGCGAGCTGCTGATGGTGTGATGAATTTGGGTGACAGGGCCCCAGTAGGACCCAGTAGGACCCAGTGGGACCACCCCCCTGACTCACCCAACCCCCCCGGTCCCTCAGATAATCCCCCAGAGAAAGGCTCTGCATTTAGGGTGCGATACGCTTAATCCTGCGGGGGCGCGTTCACAAAGGGGGCCGACACTTCCTCCGGCCTGGGAGCTTCCGCTGGTCCAGGGACGGGGACGGGGGGGAGGGGGCAGTACAAACATGTGACCATAACACACGTCGATGTTCCAATATAACACACACCCCCACACACACACACAAACATGCAACAGTGGAGACAGGAGTCGGCATCAAATAAACAAACATGTACATACACACTGTCCTGATGAGGAGCCAGTGTAAACACACAGCCCACACACACACACACACACACTGTGGTCAGAGGCTGTGTGTGTGAAGAGATCAGCATTTCTGCCCACTGAGAGTTTCACAATCACAAAAAGGAAGTCAACATCACGTTACAGCCCCTTCAGAGGCCACAGGGAAACCCCAAGCGCTCGATGTGGTCAGTGGATGCTGGTGAATGAAGCGCCACCTCCATCCTCTGGCATCACTCATGTTCCTACTGTTCGAGAAAAATGTACTTTTTAAAAGCTGATCAAATGTGAGAACATTTTCCTGCTGCCTCGCTCGCCGCCGGAGTTTAAAAACATGAGACGTTTACGTAAACAGCTGAGGGCTGTTATTCCAGATTTCTCCTACATGAAAGTTTGAGCTGTAAAAGGAAAAAAACATGAAACATGCCGTCTGGTTTTCCTCATTTCAGACTTGTTTTTCCTTCTCATACAGTTTCAGGATGTCGTGTCCTCGTCCTCGGTGTGTCCACTGCTTTTTCCTCAAGAACAGAAAAACACACACCTGAGGAGCAGCTAAAGCAGAGAGCAGCAGGTGAGGAGGAGGAAAATAAACTTCTTACAAATTAATATAAACATTAAATTTATACCAACTTTAACTATTAGAAGATATACTCGATTAACACTGCGAGGGGAAATTCAATGTTACACTCAGTTGAATATGCTTCACAGGCTGAAATTCACACACATGCACACACAGGATCCTGTGGAGATGCACTGATGGAGAGATGTCAGATTGACGGGGCTGCACACAGCGAGCGCTCCTGACCTGGTGGTGTGGTGGAGGGGTTGGGGGTGGTTCGGTGCCTTGCTCAAGGGCACCTCGGCTCCAGCTACCAGACTAGTTTTCAGACTTGGTCTGCACTTAAATCAAACCTCTACTGACGGCCCAGTGAACGTCTCTTAAACTCCGGTAGCATCGGCTGAAAGTAGCCGAGTACAACACTTAAATTCAAAGTCTAAATGTGTAAATGTTTCACTCCTCACACTTCAACAAATTTCAAACTTGTAAGCAGATACTTCTGTCCCATTCCCCGACACTCCTACATGTACAATATTTGATTTCATCTACATGATGCAGATCTCAGTGAGAGTGAGAACATTTACAGAACGAGCCTCACCCCGCTCTAAATGTTATCTCTCTACAGACTCATACTGTTTGGCAGGCTCTTTATTTTCCAGTAAGACTGACTCCTCCCACCTGGCACCGACCTGGACTTAAATAACCCACAGAGAGGATTTAACGCAAGTCTGTGTCAGGTCTGACATGAAGATAAAACCTTCAGTCTGAGTCCTGACCTCTGGCTGAACGGTGTCTGCAGTAGTAAATGGTCAGAACAGACCTCATACTAGATCAGAGTTATGAGCAGTGACTTTATAATGTACATGAGTCCAGACTCTGCCATGCTGCTTTCTGTGGCATTAAGGACTCATTATGAACCAGCCGAGTGGCTCAGGCTGCTGTTTTAGACAGAAAGAGAACCACCACAGGCCTGGCACATGTCCTGCTGTGTGGACACCAAGACTAACTGCTCCTGACACTGCCAGAACTGTGTGTGTGTGTGAGAGTCTGAAGGAAAGCATGCCTAATGTGGGAGAGAAACAGTGGATCCAACATGGCCACCCGCCAGCGTCAGTGTTCCTTTCATGGAGAATGATCCCGTCAGTGCGTCCTGCAGGCTGCTTTAGAACCAGGCTGAGTTTCTACGTGGAGGAGTGTTTTCTCAGGATCAGGTGCAGACAGGAGGGCTGTGCAGCAGGTCAGACCGCACCGCAGAGCTGCTGCACAAACACAAGACGGGTCCAGGGTCAGGCTGACACCGAACAGTCTGTGGTTTCATGATCGTGTGCCGATAGGTTGGCGTCCAGCAAAAATGGATACTCACCACCCTGGGTATACGACATCCTTCACACAACTCGGCTAAACACCGGAGACAAACATTCACTAGATATGTGCAGGAGGATTAAAAGAGCATTTTTACTCACCACTTTTTTTGTTGAGAGCCGACAAGTCAACAGGCGAGCTAACGAGCTGTGTATGCTCTCACGGTCACAGATAGCTGCTAACTGTTGCTAACATGTAAATAAATGAGGTTCTAGTTGTTAAAAGTGGAGATCAGACTTATTGGACCGTCTGTTAGTCCAATAAAGCTCACAGAGAGAGACAGATTATTAGTCTGATATTTACATGAAATCTCCAAAAGGCTCCAACAGCACAAACACGACCCAGAGGTTAAAGGTCAGGGACTGAATTAGCTGAGGGGACACCTAGCAGACAGCTAGCAGCTCCCACCTGTCACTCAAAGAGGCCACGCCCCCTAATTCTACATCCCTTTAAGCCTTAATATAATGTAAACAGGTGAGTTGTATAAACATTCAGCCTGTACAGTTGAAGAGAGAAATGAGATCTAGAGACCCAAACTGTTTTTGTACCAGACTGTAAACATGTTTATTTTAACATGGAGCTCTATGGGGACTGACTCACTGCAGGAGACAACTCTAGTGGACACTGGAGGAACTGCAGCTGCTTGAGTTTCCTTTACAAAGCTGATTTAAACAGTTTGTATATCGGGGGCTGAAAGATTGAATCCTGGTTGAGTGAAACTTGTTCCTCTTTAAATTTGCAGATATCACCTGAAGCCTGTTAAAACTCATCACACTTTTATTAACTGGACTGTGGTTGTTTTTTTTACTCATGAATGGAGTGTGCTTCTCTGTGTTAATGTTGCTAACATGGTATGAAAGTCGCTCTTAATCTCGTAGTATCCTGTTATACAGTGACCATAAAAGCTTTCAATAAAAGTGCAATAAATCCTCTGTGGTTGCGGCCATGACCCCCCAAATATTATTTACTTCAAAGAATCAATAAATTCATGCTTTAGGAGCTGAGGTCTGCCATCTGAAGCTCAGCTGAGATCTGGTCTGCTGTAGACCCTCTGTTTGGGGGGCGAGTCGCCTGCTTGTATATCTGACACCTGTTGCCTGGCCCGACTCGAGCTCTAATCTGTGTGTGTGTGTGTGTGTGTGACAAGATCTTACTACTGTATGTGTAAGAATGTGCAGTGTGTGCCAGCAGAGGATTCTTCGTGTGTTATTGGACTTGTTCCCTAAATCCCGCTCCGAGAGGATTCAGAGTTTGATGTGAAGTGAGAATTCAAAGACGAGCCATGAAGTCCAACCAGGGAATACACAACCCTTTATTTGATTCAAATCAAAAACACAGTGTCGATATTAAAAGAAAAGCAAATAAAGCCATAAATACATCAGACAGGAACAAAAAGACGCTCTGAGCTTCACATTAACTGAGGTGCTGCGAGTGGCAGCTGGAACAGAGTAGTGAACATGGAGAGGACTAAATGATCTCTGAGGGTTCAGAGAGCTGAAGCCGTAAGCAGCTGGAGCTTTATTTAACAGCATCACTTCTGCAGCATTCAAGCTTTAATATGATCAAAGTGGATTAAAGGGACTGATCCCGGTGGGAGGGTCGTCATGACATCAGAGTTTGAAACTTTGGTATGATTCTTTTAAAAATCAAACAATAACGATATCTGTTTGAAGACTTCAATCCATCCATCCATCATCTAAATCACTTTTCCCGTTCAGGGTCGCTGGGGGTTGGAGCCAATCACAGCTGTCATTGTCATTTCCCCTTGCAAACATTACAGCATGTGGTGCTTTTATTTTGAAGGTGGACAAACTGAAGTGTGGTGCTTTGTATTGACGAGCTGGTGACTCAAACACTCAGAGGCTCGTCATAAACGGCCCACTGTGAGCTGAATAAAGTTTTTCTCCGGTGTTGACAGGTCAAAGGTCAACATGTCAATCATGATGTGGGTATTATTAATGCTCCGTTAGCTCCACTTTGTACAACAAGCTAACGAGCGCTGCTGTGGGAGTGGCGTCATTTCTGGCTGCTCATGATAGGACGCTCAAACAGGAAACAGTTGAATGAAGCTGATTTTGACGCTGGTTTAAAAAACACCTGGTCTTGAAAAATATCGAAGTATCAAAAAGTCTGACATCTTGGCAACCTCACCCTGCGGAGGTCAAATCCAAAGAAATAATGGAACAGGAAGGAGATAAAGGTTGATGCTTCAGGATAAACTGACATATAAGACAGCTGATGAAAGCAGCGCGTGTGTGAATACAAACACTCAGCAGACGGCGGTCGGCTCCTTCGTTGTTCCACCTGTGAGCAGCTGAGACTACAGAGAGAGGCAGCAGGAAGCGCTTCACACACACACACATACACACACAGCAGGGAGGTATGCAGGTGTGTTCATGTAGATTAAAAAAAAAGGTGCAGAGGTGTGACATGGTGTGTGTGTGTGTGTGTGTGTGTGTGTGTGTGTGTGTGTGTGTGTGTGTGTGTGTGTGTTCAGGCTCGGTACAGCAGGATCCTCTCAGCACAGTCTTGACCCACCAGCCCGGCGTACTGCTGCACCTCCGCCTCGTCGCTTGAGCCTTTACGCTTACGGGCGTATACGCCGTACGGCATGACGGTCCGTCTGTAGAGAACCAGAACCAGGGCGATGTCCTTCAGCAGCCGAGAGTCTCCTACACACACACGCACATGCACACGCACACGCACACGCACAGGATAATAAAAAGCAGAGCGTTCATGAGCCACACTTCAACATCGTCCTTATTTTCCCTCGTTCTGACGGGTTAACCTCGGAGTGACTTGGCACTGACGCATCATTATTCCCAGAAGCAGTTGGAGGAGCAGAAGTGTTTTAATGCTCTGAACCTGGAGTCGCGGCGGTGCCACGGTGGAGCTCGCTCGTTAGTGGGCCTTGTTTACGCGGCCTCGCTCCACGCTGGCTCGCCACACTCAGCATTTCTTCAGCTCCTGTGTCGGACTCTGCCAGCTCCCATTAGCACACAGAAAAAACGCTTCTAATCTTAAATGTGAAGCTAAGAACGACCCTCTGGAGATCTGGATGGAAAATAGTGTAAAATAAACAATGACCACTAAACCCGCGGCCTCCAGGAGAGAGAGGCCGAGCCAGGCCGTCCACCGCCGGCGCCAAGAGGACACATAAAGAGAGCACAGCAGGGAGGATCAACGAGACCAGAACAACATATATTCTCTTTTGTTCATTTTGTTTGACCTTTCAGAAGGAGTTTATCAGTTATCTATAACTACAACTATCAACTACTACAACTTCAACTATATCTACATATCAACTCGACTCCTTTTCAGAGATTCAAGTCACAATGACGTTTATATTAAAGGTCACATATCCTCCTCCTCTTCAGTGTAAATAAGTCTCAGAGCACCTCAAAACATGTGTGTGAAGTTTCTTTGATCCTGTATTTGATCATGTCTATAAACCCCTCTATTTCAGCCCTGCTCAGAACAGACTGTTTCTGTTTCTAAATATGTAAATGAGCTGTGTCTGACCACGCCCCCTCTCTGGAAGGGCTCGGGTGTCTCGCTCCATGTCCTATTGTTTACGGTGAGAAGGCAGACTCAGAGGGCAGAACAAACACCTAGCTGTGGGAGTGTCACCCACCTGGGGGAGGGGTTACTGCCCTTTGTGATGTCATGAAGGGAAAATCTCCAAACAGCCTGTTTGAGCACACATTTTCTGAAAGTGGAGCAGGCAGAAGACGGAGAGGATGGACTTTTCTCATTATTGGGGGATTTGTTGACAGACTAGAGACACATGTTAGAGTTAGAGAAACATGGTGAAGTGGAGTTTAAATAATTTGTGACCTTTAAAGTTGATGTTACAAACTGCTCATTAACACTCCTGAATCAGAAGAAGAGCATCTGCACTACTAGGTGTATCTGGAGACTTCTGTGTGAATGATGAACGCTGCATGGCCGTTAAGCGCCTCAGTCTGTAAAGTTTACAGCTCGCTCTGTGCAGAAAGAGGGACAGCTCATCGACTTACTGAATACGGGTCACACGGGATCTTCTGACGGGACGATTGGAAGGCCTTCAGTTTGACATCCCGCCGTGTAAGGTATCACTAACACATCCAGCGTTCAGAGACTTCAACTTAAAAAACAAGCCAGAGGAAAGAAGAGAGGCGGGTACAAACAGAAGTCCCTGAGCCCCCCCCCCATCCCCCCCAATCCCCTCCCCCCCCACCTCTATCCATTTATTCTCATATTCTAACATTTTCTGATTTTCAAACCTCACTGTGGATTCATGTTTTATTTATTAACTTCATTTCCTTGCTCAGTTATTCCCTAACCACGGTCTGAAAACTGCTGAGTCAGAGAAGTGAGAAACGCTCGATACAAACTTCTAAATGATGAAAATCAGCAGAACGTTGTGCGGATTACAGACCGGCTTTAAAACACGTTATGTAACCTCCACAGGATCATGAAGAAGGCGTCCTGATGGGAGGAAGTGGATCCCTTCTCCTCCTTCAGGTTCTCTCTGAGTCTCTGTGGTTTACCAGGAGGATGTGTAACGAGATGTTTTTAAAGCTCATAAACTTGTTAGGATTTGAGTTTTTCCAGCGATGGATCACTCAAATAAAAGAGCTCCTATGGTTTTTAAAGGTGTGGTATTAAAGCGTCCTGTGACAGTGTGAAGCCTCTCGGTCCTCTGGCGAGCGTCTCACAGAGCAGATGTTTGAAGACGGTTTATTAACCTCGGCAGTAACGCAGAGCAGAGGCCTCATCGCTCTCTCTGACTCCAAACATCCGCTCCTCACATAAACAGCTTTCACTCCCTCCTCCTCCTCCTCTTCTTTCTGAGGAGATCCAGACCCGCCAGGCCCAGGGACTGAGGTCACAGCTCCTCCAGGGTCGTGGCGAGGAGGAGTGGCGAGGGGTCGGAGGGCGAGTAAGAGGGTCAGAGCCGAGGTGAGGGGCCTTGACACCTCGCCACGCTCCCCTCTCTCTTCACATCCATCTCAACGTAGGCAGGCCACCGGGTTATGACCACTTCCTCTGACCTAATGTTGCTGATGTCTAAAAAGAAAGAGGCTGAAACATTGTGTTGTAAGAAAGCCGCTCTTTGAGATGGAGACCTGGGATCAAGCTCCTGTGTTAGCTCACATCAGTCCAGCTCAGGCCGAGACCCTTCACCCCCACGTTTAAGGAGCAGGAAGCAAAAGATAAAGAACCATCCTTTTTATTCTTATGAAAATGACGGATGGGATCCTGAAGGTCGTAAAAGTGCAGATTACTTCTGATTATAACAAAGGACATCAAGAGTGGAGACTCATGTGTCCCTGCAGCACTCTGAAGGAGAATCGTCAGCGTTATTGCTACACAGTATCGTCTCGAACATTTTCACATCCACTGCAAAAAGAATGAGCTTAAATAAACATCTTAAACGTTAAGCTTCTTGCGCCACAAACGGCTGGAAGTAAACTTCTAAAGTCTGAAGTCCTGCAGCCCTGGTGTCTGTGTGTCGTAACTTTGTGCGTCTCTTTGGCGCCTGCTGGGGGGGGGGGTCAGTACTTGTGTCCTTCTTTCTGAGTGTTTATCCTGCTGAGTGAACGATGCCCCGATAAACACTAATATCGGGGCATGTGTGTTGCAGTGTGTGTGTGTTTGTGTGTGTGTATGTGTGTGCATGCGTGCATTGAGGCCTCTGAGCTCCATGTGTCAGTAACAGGCTGTAATCACTGTGAACCCGCTGCAGACGCAGTCGAGTAAACTTTAGATGATCTGTCTTTACACACCTCATTAGGACAGTTTGTTACCCGGACACACAATCTGACCGCACGACCGGCGCCCCGACACTAATTTTTTCCCTGTGAACGCTGCACGACCATAGACCGTCTGCACGCCATCTCTACCATCTCTGTGCTCTAATGAACCTGCTGCATTATGTTTCCTGTTCTCCAGATGTTCTTCTCCACTCTTTAGTTCACATTGAGATTCTGTTCAACTGAAGATCAGGAAGACTTTCAGGAGTAGTCCTGGACGAGCACAGGCTGTAACTTTAACCCTCTCGTCCAAATATGGTCACCACTGGCTCCAGAAAACCAGCATGGCGAAGGCTTTAATGTCACACATCAGGCTTCAGACCAAACAGTGACATCATGGTAGCTCCGTCCGTTATTTATGCAGCCTGTGGAGATTTAAAACCATTACCCTCGACCAGGACTTCCCCATGCCTTCATCGGGGCCAACAACAAGCCGCATGAAGACAAACTGCCAATTAGCAGCGCGCCGCAGACGTCCACAGATCGCCATGCTGCTAAGCTGACCATGACACGGGACACGCTGACCTGCTGACTGACCAACGGAAAGCTCCAAACCACCACAACATCCCACAGCCTGGCAGCGGTTCTGAGAGCTACCCATCAACACAGCTAGCACTGAAGCGTGATGACCCAGAGTTTGGACAGCGAGGCCAGAGTCCAGACTGGTCCGAGGTCAACAGTCCAAGCCGGAACGGAGGCACCACAAGAGACACGGATTAATATCAATCTTTGGCGAGAGCGGCTTTGTTCTGTCTTTAAACTTTGTGCCTGTGAAGACATTAGCCAAATTCAGACCGACGCTTGGTTAAGCTGTTAATCGTGATGTAGTAAATGACAGGCCGACTTCTCGTCTTTTAAACGGCCTCACTTCTCCCTCACCTCCACATTATTCAACAACATGAGTTAACCAGTGAGTCATTAAACGTGACGAGTCCTTATTTCCTCACTGGATTTTTAGAGACGGTAAACTTAAACGTTCCTCATCATCACACAACCTGACCTCCACAAAGGGGGTGGAGGAAAGAGCATCTGTGCCAGCGAGGGTTTTTAACGTCTGTACGGCCAAGTATGACCTCACGACTACAAACTCCACATCGTCTTTCCTCCTCCACCTCCCTGCACATCTATCTTCCATTTTATTATTTTTCTCCCATCTTCTGGTGCCAGCACACACCCACAAGCCTCCCTCCCTCTCTCTTCCAATCTCTATAAAAATGTTTTTTTTTTATCTAATGGTGCCCCTTTCTCCGAGAGTCCCGGTCTGCTAGTCAATCACATTCTTGTCCTTTTGAATCTCCTATTTGAGGGATTGATCCCATAAAGACTGCCACTCTGTTTGCACAAAAACAAATTCTCCAATAAATTCTCCATGCATGCTAAAGCAAGTCATGGAGTCATGGAGTCTTGGACCGGTTCCTTTCACCTCATACAGTATATGCTTCCTCTAGGTAGGTGGTTCTCAAAAGGTGGAACGGGACCCAAAAGTGGGTCAGGGAGCCATTTTCAGTGGGTCGCAGATGTCTAAAAATTGAGTCAAGAAGTCTACAAACATGTTTTTTTTTTCCTGTTTTGTTTTTCTGTCATGTTTTGTACCGCCTAAGGTCTGATTGTTTGAATTTGGTCGCAATATTTCCTGAACGAGTTTGTGGCTGGTCCTAAAGCTAGACCAGTTGAGATCCACTGCTGTAATATTACAAGGAAACACTCCATATATGATTGTTGATATACAGACGATACTCAGCTGTTCCCTCCAAAAACATGAGTCAGACTAGCGTCTCCTCCGCCATTGTTGTTGTAAATATGATATCAGAAGCCCCGCCTGTTCTTGCTTTTGATTGGTCGTGAAGGAGAAGTGACACAGCTTGCAGATTCAATTGATGCTAAATGTTTGAGTTTGGTTGATGTGCAAGCTGCAGGCGTTCATTATTTTAAAACACATTAAACTTACAAATGCAGCATCGACTCTGGAGAGTGATCAGGGAGAAAGATTCAAGAAACAAGGAGTCAGAAATGAGTCTGTGTTTCTGCCCCGATGCAGGAAATAAAAAGCTCCTCTTTAAAACCTTCAAACCCACGTTCACTTTAATAAACACCCTCGCTGACCCTCATCTCTCACCCCAGCAGGCCAAGCTGTGGGCGTCTGCCAGTCTACCCTCTCTGTGTGGTTTAATTCTGCTGATATCACTGTTCATCTTAAACCAACACAGCCCTTTCATAACGAGCGAGCGGAGGGATCATTTGGACTGCAGGCTGTGAGAACAGAGCTGCAGACCTCTCTGTTTCTGTTCACTGAGTGCACTCTGCCCACAGCTTTCAATACAACATCACTGTGAAACCAGATCACATGCTAATGTAAGAGTTCAGAGGTTCATCCAGAAGAGTGAGGACAGGACTGAAGGGTCCAAAACCAAGCTCAGGGGGGCCGGTGGAAGCCGTCAGATGAAGTGGAACTCCTCTCTTCTCCTACATTTGCTTTCCGTCTCATTTGTTAGACGCACGTTGATCAGAGTTCACGCACACTGCGGCTCTCTGAACATTAACAACATCTCCAGCTGATGTCTTTCAGACTCAGACTTTCACAGAAGTTTTAACTTCATCATGAAACCAGAAGAAGGATTTTAGTCAGGCAGATTCAAGTTAGTTTTGTTTGAATGAAAGCTAGACAGAGGCGTTCGTTAGGACACAAAACGTACAACATCCACAGACGCATTTACCAGTTGACATGGTCACTTTTTGAAGCGTAACACCGGCAAGGACTTTGCTGTTTCTAGCAACAGAAAAAGTGTCCCGTGTGCAGAATTAGCGTCGCAAGTGAACAAAGTGTTTGTTCTGGAGAGGATAAGTTGATCTCCCAGTAAAACCTCGTTAAAAACCCTCCAGAGGAAAAATTGCCTAAAAACAAGCGGAGCACTTTTACAGAAACAGCTGAGAGTGAAGTTGTGAGTCCGCTGCAGATCGTCAGAGTTTTAAAGTTGAACAGCTTTATCCTGTTCAAATCAGCCCGTGTTAGCAGAGGAGGAAACCTCTGTGGCTAATTCATCCACCAATAAAAACTCAAGATACCAGGTTTGTTAAACAAGTTGTTCAACGATGCCGTTTATAAAAAAAAGTGCTCATCGACTTATTCTTCAAACCAACGACTTCCAGATGTGAGCATTCATGATTTTAATGTTATTAATGTATTCTAGGATATGAGCTGCGTGTGGAAACATGTGGTCTCCTCCAGGTTCGGACTTGGTGGTGATATAATAAACAGAAGTGTGAAGTGCTGCGGGGTTGTACCTGCATCGGGATCCTGGTTGAAACGAGCGTAGCGGGAGTTTTCCAGCTGGGGAAGGCATCGCTCGATCGGTACCCAGGCAAAGGTTTCTGGGCACAGGAGGTCTGAAGGCCGGTACTGCCCCTGAGGAGGAGAGAGAGGAGGGGTTACAGCTCCTGCTCAAACAATGGATTTGTTTCAGAAAGAAACAGAATGTGTTCACAGTGTTGGAAACGGTTTTGTTTTTGTGTTGCATCGAGGAAAAACGCCAAACATTTCTTAATACAGCCTCAAGACACATTTTAAACATCCTAACTGGTTAAATATCTGAAAGCTCACAAGAACACCTCCACACACCTGGACATTTAGAGTTAGTAACTATTTTTTATCAGATTATTTACAAATAGAAAATAAATGATGAGAGGCCTGAAACCCTCCTCTCACACTAAACCTGTGAGCTCCGGGGTTAAAGGTTCCACAGGATGTAAACCGACCTCAGGGTCAGGATCAGGGTTGAGACCTGAGTCCAACTCGGCTCTGTTCGAGTCTTTTGTTTGAGTCATGCCTGTGTGTCTGCAGCGCAGAGCAGGAGATGTAAACAAACCAGCATATTGTGCGATTGTGAAACGGGTACGAGAGTGTTTGACCTAACATTTGGGATGGAAAGTAAACCGAGCTGAACAAAAACAGCTGCAGGGGAAAGAAAAAGACAAAACGAGTGAGGGGTTGAATGAGCGGAGAAACAGAAAGAGAGAGAGAGAGAGAGAGAGAGAGTAAACAAGCGGGCGCCTGCAACACACCCGCTGCAACATTTCAACACACACAAAGTTTAAAGTTTCAGACGTTAAACTGGAGGACAAAGACTCCGACGTTTCATGAAAACAGTGTTCATACACAAGCGAGGTGAAGAAGTGGTTATGAACTGTAAATATGAAAACTAAAGGAATCCTGCTGTTTCTGTGCGAGTGCTCCGACCACCTCAGACCTGTCAGCGGGCCCGCATGGAAAATATGCAGCATGTTGTTACACGCAGGACGGGACGCCGTGAGCGTGAAGGAGGCGGCTTCACAAACTCAAGGATCTGCAGATTAACTTAAAGAGACGGCGTTTGCTCTGCAGATTTATACATTTACTAAACAGGTAACCTTTTATTACCAACGAGTCTGTTGTAGATGAAAGCATCCAAATCATATCTCTATCGTCTCATAAACTCAGAGACACATTTTCAAGCTGCTGCATCAAGTCAGGTGTGATGTCATAGTGAAAAAACCTGCATGGGGTTCACGTGTTTCTCTGTGTGCACTTTAAGAGAAAGTCTAAAAAAAAAACAGCTAGTAGTGTTCAATCTAAACACACGATACCCTAATGAAAGGACGAGCGCTCAGTGAAGACCCCCCTTGCTCCACTCATGCCCTTTTATCCTACTGATAAGTTAAATAACCTAGCCTAGTTGCCATAGCAACCACAACAGCATTGCCACCTTCAACAGACACCGGCTCAGTACATGCATGCTCCAGGTTGTGACAACCCAGACACCACTCGGCCCCTCTTGGCCTCCTACAAGTCAACCGTGTAGACCGATGGTCAGCGAGAGCCAGGACATCACCGGGCTCGCCATGAGGGATCCTCCCTTCACCGCTGTTTCTTCTGATTAGTCCCACGACACCTCAGGAAGGCTCCATGCCGGCTCACACATCATACCACACGTAGAGTAGAGTTTTAACAAAACCAGATAACTTCACTTCAAAACTATTTGTTACCACAGCAACAGAAATAGAAGTCCAAGGCGGTGAATCTGTTTTTAATTGACAACAGTTGAAGACAAACTCCTGCACTCCGTCTGAATTGTACTAAAACGTTTCTGCGCCTGCAAATTTGATAATTAAAAGATGTTGGCAGGTCTCTGGTACTGCGACGGCCCTAAAGCATCTTAAGAGGACCTCTGTCTTTGAAAGGCTGCGGTACAACGTGAACGTGCAGAGAGAGCGTCAGGGTGAAGCTAAAGGCTGTAGCATGCTTTAAGTGCCTCTGCTAACAGATGGACGGAGGTGGAATGTTATGAATCCGTTGTTAGGACGGACGCACACATTGATCGGATGCTCGCCGTGTCCCAACAACCTGCAGCCGTCTCCAACTGTCAGCACCGTCAGGCTGACACTCTCACACTCTGCCTCACCTCTATGGACTCCATCACACACACACACACACACACACACACACGCACGCACACACACACACACGCACACACACGCACGCACGCACACACACACACACACACACACACACACACACACACACACACACACACGCACACACACACGCACGCGCGCACACACACACACACACACACACACGCACACACACGCACACACACGCACGCGCACGGAGAACAGAGAAGCTCGTCTTGAAAATAAAAACAGGAGGAGACGAGAAAAACGAAAACATTGAAAAAAGAAAAATGATTTTTGTGGTGGCCAATAACAATCAAGGGGGGCCCATGCCATCCCTGACCACGCCCCTGACCCCCAGATGTTTTCGGCATGTTTGGAGTAGCCGGGCCTCGAGCGACCATGTGATTGGGCCATTAGTATCGTAGATGGTTGAGTTTCAGAAGGAAGCAGAAGAAATTATAACTTCATCTCAGTCAAGAGTTATTGAAGTTGCATTTTGGTTTTATCTGATTGTTGTTCTTATTTAGCTCCAATAAACAGACTGACTGTCTTATGAACTCAAACTGATGTGGACAAAGTGTTTCTCTGTCGAGAACGTTTACAAAAGAAAGTTAATAAAGACGAGTCTGTGTTCTTGTAACACTCATCACGGTATCAAGTGATTCAGACTGAAATATAACCAGTGTGTCCTGCTTCTCTCATAACAGCAGTCCTTCTGATGACTTGAAAAGTTAAGATCATTTGAAATTCCGTCATAAATAAAGAAGATTACTGATTCTGGGAAAAACCTCAGAGCTTCGGATCATCTGTCCCAAAATCATAGATCAAGTTTTACACGGTAAACTTTCAACAGACAGAGAGGCCTCGCTGACCAAAATGAGAGACAGAGTGCGGTCATGGCACTGACACAATTCCTCAATTCTCTCTCTGAAAAGAGGAAAGGATGAAGAGAAAGACGAGGAGGAGGATGAAGAACAGGAGAAAGAGGAGGAGGAGGAGAGAGGAGGAGGAAGAGGAAGAGGAAGAGGAGGAGGACGAGAGGACACACAGTTATTAGTGGTCTGGATGGAAGAGGAGGAGGAAAAGAAGAGGGAAAGAAATGCTTGGTTGGCCACAAACTATCTGTCAGCTTTTCTTCTTTATTGGACTGAAAGTGAAGCCTGAGCTGACCGCTGACTCTCTCTGTTGTTTTTATCTTTTCGTTTCTCCTTCAGGTTGGTTTGAAGGTTCAGTAACTCACAGCCTCCCCTGCAGCTTTCTGCAGCACAGTCAAGAGATTTCTGCTCCTGCCTGCTCAGAATATCCATCTTTATATCGATCAGTGACTAATAAACGCAGAGACACAGTAATGGTTTCCTGAAAAGTGCATTTTTCAGAGAGGAGGCTGATGGAGAGGTCTGTAAGCTCATTAAGGCGCCAAAAGAGGCCAGAGGAAGTGATAGTGACCGCATGTGAACGACCACAAAGACATCTGCTGAGGTTTGATTGTGTTCAAGGGCCAAAGATGAGACTTTCCAGACGATGAAAATCTTTTTTTTATTTTAGTCCTCCTCTCCTCAGACTCTCTGCTCCTCCCACACAAAGCATCCATCACCATCCCTCCATCCTCTCTGCGCTCGCATGTTCAGACGGATACGGAGGTGATGCCGATGACTGACACCCTCTGAAAGGCTCGTTTGCAGAGCGGCAGAAAGCGAGGCGGGTTGAGGAGGGGGTGAAAAGACGAGCGGAGGAGAAGGGAACAAGTAGAAACTTCTGCACATGGGGGGAGAGAGAAGAGACAGAGAGAGAGCGAGGAATGGGAGAGAATGAGGTGCAGATGACTAAAAGGATGGTATTTAACGTCTCCGAGTCATGGGCCGAGGAGAGCTGATGGGAGTGATAGGTGCAGACTGAGAGCCAGCATGGAGGAGGTCCAGCGCAGAGGGGGGAGGGGGTGGCGGCGGAAGGCAAAGAAGCGGGAGAAGTAAAGTAGAAAGAGGCTGACATGGAGAGGAGGAATAAAGATCTGCAGCCAATGAGGGAAGGAGATGAAGAATATGTATAAGTGCGCAGTGCGAGAATGCATCCAGTCGCTGTATTCTGGTGTTTCTATCAGATGTCAGAGGTCACCGTTTATCTGAGAGCGATCTTCTTCAGTGCACGTTTCCCGATGAACTGAACTTTAACGAGACATGGGAGGATTACACATCTGAATAACGAGCTGCTGGAGTGTAAACAATGACACAACCTCCGTCAGCAGCAGTAAACACACGCACACACACACGCACACGCACACGCACACGCACACGCACACGCACACACACAGGCCCTGCTGCTGTCAGAGGAACTTTATGACCAACGACTCGAACACAAACCGTCACCCTGCTCCTCTCTTCACACTTTTCTGTTTTCTCACACCTTACAGGGAGCGCCGCCTGAGGCCGGCACATGTATGATTTATATGAAGAGCCGTTAATCAGACACATAAATGGAGCGCTTCGCTGCAGAGAAGGAATCCTCGTGAAAACTGAAACCTCTATTACCCTCCGCAAGAATTCTTCCTCCCTCTGAGTTTAACGTGCAGAGTCAGGAAAACTTTCATTAATTGGGAGACCATCAGACCAAAAAAATCCTCAGCGTCATGTTGCCTGAAATGGTCGATTCACCGTATTAATGTGTGATACTGTGTCAGACAATAACCTGTGGAGCTCAGGGAGTTTGTTTCATCATCTCCTGACAACAATAAGACTCCTGGTACTTACAGGTACACGCAAGCAAGAGCACATCACCCCTGTACTCGCCTCCCTTCACTGGCTCCCTGTAGTTTTTAAGTCACTGCATGGTCTAGCCCCCCCATATTTAACAGAACTTGTAACCCCCTACACCCCATTACGCCCACTTAGGTCCTCTGAACAGTCACTCCTTGTAGTCCCTCGAGCTCAACGAAAACTCAGAGGCGACCGTGCCTTCTCGGTGGCTGGCCCCCGTCTG